TACCAAATTGGGTTGGTTGGGGTGTAATACTAATAATAAGTGTTGCCTTTAATTTAATCAATAAAATAAATTGACTTCATTAATTTTTTTGAACCACCTCTTAAGAAAATCTAAAAGATATGAATGGAATGATAAATCACAAGTACAAACTCATCATATTTTTTGCATTTTAGATAGGATTTATACAGCAAAATTTAAGGGTGACGTCATCAATTTTTTTAGGAGGGATGAACAAATACATTGTGAACAAAAGTTTACCATGCTTATAATAGCTTTAAAATATTCCCAAGATTTCAAAGCATTCGGTTTTGTAATTCCTGATTAAATCGATAAAATAAATTCACGCCTTCATTAATTTTTTTGAGTCACCCTGCATATGCAAATCCAAAAATATGAATGGAATGATAAATCACAAGTACAGACTCATCATATTTTGTACATTTTAGATACGATTTATTCGGCAAACTTTTGAGCTGACGTCATCAGTTTTTTGTAGAAGATAACCAAATATATTTTGACTAAAAATTTATTATGCTCTTTATAACCTTAAAACATCTGCAAGATTTCAAAGCATTCGGTTTTGTAGTTCCTGATTAAATCAATAAAATAAATTTCCGCATTCATTAATTTTTTTGAGTCACCCTGTATATGCAAATCGAAAAAATTTGAATGGAATGATAAATCACAAGAAGAGACTCACCATATTTTGTACATTTTAGATAGGATTTATTCAGCAAAATTTTGTGGTGACGTCATAAATTTTTTAGGGGGGACGACCAAATACATTTTGATCAAAAATTTACCATGCTTATGATAATTTTAAAATATCTTCAAGATTTCGAAGCATTCGGTATTTTAGTTCCTGAGTAAATCAGTAAAATAAATTTACGCTTTCATTTATTTTCTTGAATCACCCTGTATATGCAAATCCAAAAAATATGAATGGAGTGATAGATCACAAGTACAGACTGATCATATTTTGTACATTTTAGATATGATTTATTCGGCAAATTTTCGAGCTGACGTCATCAAGTTTTTGGAGGGGATAAGCAAATATATTTTGACTAAATGCTCTTTATAACCTTAAAACATCTGCAACATTTCAAAGCATTCCGGTTAGCAGATTAAAAATTAAATTTCAAAATGTTGTTTTATAATTTTGATTTTTTTTCCAAAAATCTGGACGTTTCGGGTGAAAAGTCGATTCGGAGTTGTAAACTACATGTGTAGAACTATGTTATTTTATACAATTGAAAACCGATTTACTATGTACAATTTTGAAGTGACGTCATCGCATTAGTGGTGGGGATGATTAGACAAATTTTGGTTAGCGTTTACGATCTACATGAAATTCTTAATATAAGTACAAAATTTCACAACAATCGGTCGAGTACTTTTGGAGATTATCTGTCTAATAAAAATCCGGGACGGCAGACGGACGGACAGACGGACGGACAGACGGACAGACGGACAGACAGACGGAAATGGGAGACCTATTTCTTCGTCTTCTAGGGGTCATGAAAGATCGAGAAAACGTAAAAGTAGAGAGTCGGCCAACGGACTCGATTACAATACTTCCTTTGCTTACGCTCGGGAAGTAAAACGAAGAAAAACCCCTTGAAATAATTAACAGTATTAAGAGTGGTCACCAGAAGGAAGAGGGGGTGGGTGGGCGGACCTACTCCTTGCCTGTAAAGCACTCTCCATGGAAAAGTTAAACTTAACCCCGCCCACCCACCCGTCGTCTCATTTTTTTTCTTATGAAATAAGAAATAAACCTTATAACAAAGAGTACAACAAAAAAGTTACGATTAGAGTTTTTTTGACAGTCTAGTTTATATCAGTTACTTACCACTCCTACTCTGCAGAAGAACGTACTATAAGCCCCGCCCACCCACCCGGTGATTAATTTTATAAAAAAGTACTACAAAAATTTATTTTAGCGAAAAGAAGACGACATTTATTGATTAAAAGAAAAAATTAACAGTTTAAATTTATAGAATTTAAAAATTAATGACACACTATCCAAAATTTTGGTTTATTTAGGTTATTTACACTTGTACTTTATATTATCCTTATTACACAGTCTATTTTTTGTAATTTTGTGTGACATACCATTTATGTATGTTGTATACCTATGTGTAATATGGGGAATAAAACTTCGCTACCACTATAAAAGAAGAAAAAAAACCCTGAAATATCAGGTGTAGATCGAATAATTTATAGAAGGAAAATAAGGAAATGTCTGTTTTCTCCATCTACGGTTTAACAAATTTGCTGAAGATTGAATAAGATAATAGTATTGTCCAAAATTAACAGTTTTAAGAGTTGTCACCAGACGGAAGAGGGGGTGGGTGGGCGGGCCTACTTCTATCCTGTAAAGGACTCTCAAGGAAAAAGTTAAACTTAAATTAAATTCTGGAATATGGATTCGAAAAATGTAGAATATTTCTGCTTTATGTCGAAATCTGCAAAAAATTTCCTTCGAGTCTCCAATTCCGATTCATCGTTCTAGTACAATGCTTCATATCGCAATATTTATCTACAATAATTTACTTCAACCTTCAAAAATGCATTAATATAATTTATTGGTAGCACACTATACTTTTTACTGCTCTTTTAATAATTCGTGATGTTGACGAATTGGAACTGACATTTACGTTCTTTTGTTTTTAAAACTGCATTGTAGTCCAGTACACATTTGTGGACGTCATCATTTTAATAGCAGGGAAAGAAACTGACAAAAATAACACATAAATCCTATAGTATGGAACAAATCAGTACACAAATCAAAAAATAAGTACAAAATTATTTCCAGTTTAAAATCGCGCTGAGAACCTCACCAATTAGCTACAATTTTGTGCCACATTCTTGCCCTCAAATTCGCCACGAAATTACATTCAACGCTCGTCGTTATTCTTATGTGATTTTAACAAATCATAACTTAATTAAAAAACAATTTATCAATAATTTATTCCGCGCAAATTACCATAATTTGCATTTTATTGCGAGAAAGAAACATTGACATCCGCAATAAAACGCACGTAATACCTATGAGAATTTTTGCACCAACCCAGAAACAATAACAATTATTTCACGCATCATCAAGCCATTAATTCTTGAAATATTTAGCTTAAAACACCGTCTATAAATAATCATGCAATCAAATCCTCCGAAACAGCCATTTAAGTTGTATTATGAAAGCCCTAGAGCCAAAGCCGATGTATAGGAAACTCAATTGAAATTCTTGATATCTTGACAAGCGGTTTGAATAGACTCACCAGAAAAATAATTTTCTTGCGGATTGCCGCAGACGTGCATGTTTTAGCGACCACATCATATCGCTGACAATCTCAATGCAAATTGGCCGCTGTGTCGTAATGGCTCATAAATTGCGTTTATGTTGATATTTTTCTTCGTCGTGATATGGATATTAAAACCATGTGGTATTTTTCTCCCGAAACCTCTCGTGTGGATCAGCTCCGGATGGCCCGGTTTCACACAAAATCGGCCCAATCAAGCGCAAAATCAGCCGGCTTTGGCAAAAAGCTCGCATCAACTCAAATGAAATAAAGCCAATTTTCTGCCACGCGAACTCGCCATTGTGTACTTTCTTTCCCTCTTGTTTTTTCCTGTCTGGACCGTTGACATTCTTATTTTTTCTCGCAGCTTCGTCCTTGAGGCCGCTACTTAATTTGTAAATAAATAAGTAAATTAGAAGCGACTTAAGGCCACGCTATCACGCACGATTGATGTATCCTAAAATCCGCAATTAAACAAACTGTAGCGCTTAATTGCCGTAATTAAGCAGACTTACAATAAGTCACATCGAGCGTAACATCCATCACCACCTCAAGGTTAACTTATGCAAAGAGATTTATGGGGCTAATCTTTAACCGATTGAAGAGTAATTTCTTTCATAACCTCAGCACGTAAGTACGAATCGTGCTTAAGTGATGAGTCTAATCAGCTCAACTCCGAGCTCACGTATCTTTTAATAACATGATATTCAAAATGTGTGCTCATGTAAATTACAACAGGATGTTTAATGACTCCCTTTCGACACAGTCCGCAAATGGCTCCTCTCCAGAAAAGACAAACCCGTAAAATGAGATTAAACGCGTGAAGGTGGCGTTTTTTTCCCGTTGGTTGCGTCACAAAACGGATAATTGAGCATTTCATTCGAAAACGTCAACGCTTTTTGCGTGGAATGACCTTAAGGCTATTATGGCAAATCAGGGGTTAATTGAACAATTACCTTTACATAAGGGATATGGGGGTGGTCGGATGACTGACACCTCAAAGGTCGTTCTTGCTCAAGAAGCAAATGGACCTTTTGTTCCGGTTTATTAACAGTCACGCTTGGTACTACCACACAAGAATCACCAACAAGCTAAAAATCCGCAACCTTTGTTAGTAGTACCCTCCGTACTACTCTAGTATTGTCGCACCTAATCGGATACGACCCGTACCGACTCTTTAATGACATCATCCTACATTACGACTCCTAATTACCATGCATGTGCCTGATATTTAACTAAAAGGAAAAAACTCAAAGCGGCCTTCAATCCCAAAAAATGGAAGAGAACGTCCATCCATCACCTTCAAAAAGCATCAACTCCATTTAATTTTTAAACGGTCGGCTTCTGTCTAACAAAATCCGCATGATCTTCTCATTCTCACAAAGATGCACTCACGCTCCCGGTACTTTCACTCGAGGACGATCGTGGCGGGTGGATGTTACGTCTGATCGTACATTATGTCAACGAGCATTTTTTTGCGGTCACATTGTTTTAAGGTAAAGATTACACTTTGACACACTTTTCACGAAGTACTACCTAATGGGTTACGATGGCCATGAGTAGACCATTTGGCATGCGGTGATTATTATTTTTAAATGAAAACACGTCATTTAGACTTAGATTTTAGTAATTGTCAAATGACGGCTTCAAGACAATTATAAACGTATCAGAGTGGTTCCTCGTCAACGTCAAAAACGAGATTGAAAGAATGTACGTCAAAGTCGTACCTCATGTACTTTTTTTTCTAATGTAACCTCTTCAAGAAGACCCAAGGTACTGACGGCAACGCATGCAAACGATTGGTGCACACCGTAACAATTCAGAATAATGGTCCCCTCTAATGTACGTGTTATCTAACAAAGAGCGATTTTTTGGAGGTGGTGAACAAAAGGATGATACAGTGCGGGGTTGATTACTATATAAATAGTCCGCGGTTTGCACGAGAAGTAGTCTCATCAAAAGTCCTCATCACATATCAGTTCCAGGACTAGAGGTTAGTTAGTGACCTGTGATTGTGTTGCGTCGATAATAAATCGAAAAATTGTTGTAAATCGAAAAATTGTTGTTTCAGGACGATCAGAATGGACTGGATGAAACTATGCTTGGGTAAGTGTGAAAACACGGATACAAATTTGTTTATGGCGGTTGTAAATTTTGGCGGAGACAAAGGTAACAGGAAATTCTCACATAAATTGCCGAGTCAATTAAAATTTGAAACCCATGCTTTAGTTTCCTTGTAATGATTACACTTGTTATAATAAACTTAATTTTTCGTTTTGTATCATTTTTCATTATGTAAAAATCTTGCGTAAGCAGATTACTTTATTACAGTAATTGCTAGAGAATGTAGAAAATAATTCCCACTGTCGCACTTTGTTGCAATTTCACACAATCTCATCGCATAAAATAATCAAGAATGATTGCTTCGGGATTGATTATTTCGTTTTTCAGAAAATTTACAACCTCTTAATTGTTTTAATTCCTTCCACTTAACAAATTTATGACGTTTCAGTACTTTGCGCCTTGTTGGGAAACATCTCGGTAAGTATTGGCAATCACTCGTTGTCCAGTACGACATTAGTAAATTTTTCTCCAGGCCCAACAAGGTTACACCTATGACCGTCCTGAAAAACCATTTGAAGCGCCGACGCAACAACCCAGCGACAGACCCAGCGGCTTTCCCGGTTCCAGCACTGGCCCTACCGGGACCTATCTAGGTCCTACTACAGGTCCAGCAACTTCTCCCGGCTATCCCGGAACAGGAACCGGTGGTTACCCGTCAGGCCAACCATCTAAACCAACGGGATCTGGAGGATATCCTTCAACCGGACCTTCGAAACCTTTTCCAGGTTCTCAAGGTACCACTGGAACTGGTGTTACCTCTTCATTTCCTGGTCAAGGGCCATCGGGTCAACCCTCTAAACCTTCTGGTGGTTTTCCGGGAACAAGTGCCCCCTCTTTCCCTACTCAAACTCCATCGGGACCGGGATATCCATCTGGACCTACAGGAGGCTTCCCTGGTACTGGACCAACCCCATCGGGACCAAGCGGATATCCTTCGGGACGACCTGGTACAAGCTTTCCCGGAACTGGCTCAACCCCATCGGGACCAGGCGGTTATCCTTCAGGAGGACCGACTGGAGGTTTTCCCGGCACTGGTTCTACGCCATCAGGACCAAGTGGGTATCCTTCGGGACGACCGAGTACAGGATTTCCCGGAACGGGCTCAACCCCATCGGGACCAGGCGGTTATCCTTCAGGAGGACCTACAGGAGGCTTCCCTGGTACTGGACCAACCCCATCGGGACCAAGCGGATATCCTTCGGGACGACCTGGTACAGGCTTTCCCGGAACTGGCTCAACCCCATCGGGACCAGGCGGTTATCCTTCAGGAGGACCGACTGGAGGTTTTCCCGGAACTGGTTCAACCCCTTCGGGACCAACTGGATATCCTTCTGGACGACCGACCTCAGGCTTTCCCGGAACGGGCCCAACCCCATCAGGACCAGGCGGTTATCCTTCAGGAGGACCGACTGGAGGTTTTCCCGGAACTGGTTCTACGCCATCAGGACCAAGTGGGTATCCTTCGGGACGACCGAGTACAGGATTTCCCGGAACGGGCTCAACTCCCTCTGGAACAGGCGGTTATCCATCAGGAGGACCGACTGGAGGTTTTCCCGGAACTGGTTCAACCCCTTCGGGACCAACTGGATTTCCTTCTGGCCGACCAACCCCAGGCTTTCCCGGAACGGGTCCAACGCCATCAGGACCAGGCGGACCGACTGCTGGCTTCCCCGGAACTGGTTCGACACCATCGGGACCAGGTGGCTATCCCTCAGGACGACCGACTACAGGCTTTCCCGGAACGGGTCCAACTCCATCAGGACCAGGCGGCTATCCTTCAGGGCGACCAACCCCTGGCTTTCCCGGAACTGGTTCAACCCCGTCAGGACCAGGCGGCTATCCGTCAGGGCGACCAACCCCCGGATTTCCGGGAACTGGTTCAACCCCATCGGGACCAGGCGGCTATCCTTCGGGACGACCAGCCCCCGGCTTTCCCGGAGCTGGTTCAGCCCCATCCGGACCAGGTGGTTATCCTTCGGGACAACCGACCCCAGGGTTTCCGGGAACGGGTTCAGCTCCATCCAGTCCAGGACGACCAACTCCAGGCTTTCCGGGAACTGGTTCAACCCCATCGGGACCCAGTGGTTATCCTTCAGGTGGTTTTCCCGGTACTGGCAAACCCGGAACTGGTGGTTTCCCTGGGAGTGGTCAAGCCCCATCCGGACCGACTTCGGGCTTCCCTGGAACTGGCACTGGATATCCTGGAGCTCCATCGGGACCTTCTGGGTTTCCTTCAAAACCATCAGGTCCTGGAGGCTTCCCTGGTCAGGCGCCATCAGGTCCTAGTGGATTCCCGGGTGCACCTTCTGGACCTGGTGCCCCCATTCCTCCAGTTACGTTTCCAGGAGCGCAAGGTCAGCTCGAACCAGGAAAATACACAGGACAATACGAAGAGGGGGCTTTCGATGAAGGCGATTATTCCGCTATTCCAGGAGAACCCGGCCGAGATTATCCCATTTATTCTGAAATTTCTGAAACGTCGTTCGCTTGTGATCAGCAGCAATTTCCCGGGTACTACGCCGATGTGGATACCAGATGCCAAGTTTTCCATATTTGTGCAAATAATAAAACTTACGATTTCCTTTGTCCTAATGGAACGATTTTCCATCAAGAATATTTGGTCTGTGTCTGGTGGAACCAATTCGATTGTAGCTCAGCTCCTTCTTTGTACAGGATTAATGAAAATATTTATGACTATTCAATAATTGGAAGTGCGCAAGGACCGTCTTATCCAGGAGGACCATCAACCGGACCGAGCTTTCCGGGTGCCCCATCAGGTAGGGTTTCAAAATAACATGGGCGTCTACGTGATTGTAATATTTATAGGTCCTGGAGGTTTCCCAGGCAGTGGACGACCATTAGGACCTGGAGGAAGACCTGAAGGACCTACTGGACCAGGTGGCTACCCAAGTGGATATCCTTCTGGACCACAGGGACCAAGTGGTCCACAAACTCCTAGTGGGTATCCTACTGGACCAACTAGTCCCGGGGGACAACCACAACAACCTTCTGGCTACCCGTCGGGACCTACCGGAGGACGACCCCAAACTCCTGGTGGATATCCTACTGGACCAACTAGTCCCGGGGGACAACCACAACAACCTTCTGGCTACCCGTCAGGACCTACCGGAGGACGACCCCAAACTCCTAGTGGATATCCTCAGGGACCAACTTCTGGAGGACAACCACAAGGACCTTCTGGATACCCGTCGGGACCTACCGGGGGACGACCCCAAACTCCTAGTGGATATCCTCAGGGACCAAGTTCTGGCGGACAACCACAAGGACCTTCTGGGTATCCGTCCGGACCACAGGGACCAACTGGTGCCGGAGGCTATCCATCTGGACCTACAGGAGGACGACCTGGTGGATATCCCACTGGTTCACAAGGACCAACTGGCACAGGAGGGCAACCACAAAGACCTTCCGGCTTTCCTTCAGGACCGCAACAAACTACCGATGGACAACGACCAAGTGGACCAAGTGGACCCAGTGGGGGTTATCCTAGTGGACAGCCATCCGTTCCCTTCCCCGGATCCAGCAAACCCGGCCAACCGTCCCGAGAATATTTACCGCCTGGCAAATGAAACAGCTACTGAAGTACCTCACCCGTAAAAGTATTTCTTTAGATAATTTATGTAAATAACACGTGATAACTATAATTTTATACATTTTTATAAGACGCCGCAGAATAAAATGTGTAATCATCTGTTGAATTCAATAGATTTTACAATAAGTTTAGTATCTGTTCATTTCGTAGACCGAGCGATGAATGCTTTGGATGGCTTTGATGTACCCGGCGATTCGAAGGTCCAGTTTCAAGTTAAACTCCTTTGATATATCGATTAGTTCCTGAAAATTGAATCGGGGTTAAAGGTACACCAGGTACAACGGTATTACATCACCCGTTTCCCTCATTACGTGCTCGATTGCGTAAGTGAGTACGTCGAGGTTCATTTCACAACTGACGATTTTCTGAGTGGTGGCTAAAGAAACCACTTGACGGGTTTGAGTCGAAGCTTCAAAAGTGTCTAAGATATGTTTGTACAGACGGCGAAGTAACGGAAAATTCGTTTCTCCCATTGTTCTCAAACAGAGTAAGTGTTCCAAGTACGACGCTACCGCGTGACCAGAAGATACATAAATATCAGGGAGAACCAACTTAGAGCGTGAGACCAAAATTCGATGCGCCGTAGGAGTAATAGCCCCATTTGCCGCTTCGACTACAATTTTAGCCTTAACTTTATCCGCTGTGTAACAAATTAAGTTTTTTTGTTGAGCTGCCAACACAAGAATGTCGCAGTTCTCTTTAAAAATGTCATCATTAACGTGAGGTTTGGCGTTCTTGAAGCTTGAAATTGAACCATAGTCGTTCCTGTGCTTAACCACGGCCTACAACAAACGATTAAAATAGCCAAAACGGCTGATCGTCGACCTGGGTATCGATTCCTTCCGCGTTGTAGATGAAGGAATCGTGTTCTTTAACCCCGACACAAATGGCACCGCTGCTTTCTAGGTACTTCGCCACGGGGGTCCCTAAAGTACCCAAACCCTAAAAAAGTGTCTTCAGTTGGTGGTACCATTCATTATAACTAGGTTTAACTTGGATTATGAATGTTTTGTCTTGGAGGCCAGGTTGGCTCATGTTAATGCTTTGTAAGACGGCTTCGTTGTTGATGAAGTAGTCCAAAGCGAAAAAGATACCTTGGCTAGCCATTTTCGAGTAGTTTTCGATACCCCCTGCCTTTAGTGGCTTTCCAACAACCATTAGTTTGTCTACAATGTGGTTAGAATTGGACACTCATGTATGAGTCCTACCGTGTCCATCTGGAAAAATCGACGTAATCCAGTCCATTTCGCGCTCTCCCACGTTAATATCGGGCTCGATAATGTCGGTGCGTCCATCTGAAGACTCGTTTTGATTGTGACCAGAAAATAAGACCGTCCTTACCGCAAAACCCTTTCAAGTACAACTCCCCTGCGTATTTTTTCACGATCCTTTGCAACTCCAACTCCGTGTATTCCGTCGGGTCGATTTTGATACCCCCATGTCCCCCAGCCAGTCTTATCCCCATACAAGCGTGTTTGTAGGTGGAAAGCGCCGCCAAGGCCTTCATTTGGTCCCTCGTGACGTCGTTCCTCATCCGCAGACCCCCCAACGACGTGTTAAACCCCGAATAAAGCCCGTACTGAGCCCTAAACCCCCGGATCATCCTCTTCGTTCCATCCTCACGCTGCATGGGAAACCGCACATCAATAACCGAGTTACACTGATCCAAGATCTGAATCACCGTCTCGACTCTCTTCGCCGCGTCGGCGTGACTCAACGTCGGTTCCCGGTCTCTCAAATCAGCCACTAATCTCGGGAAACTGATTTCGTAAGCTCTGTGAAGAAACCAATTGACTTGATCGAACAAGGCGGCGTTCGCTAAGTAAAACGAGGTTCGATAGCGTTCGGGAATTTCGTAAGACGAGTAGGTGCGTTTTCGAAGAAAATTTAGTAATTGACCCTTCAAACCCATCGTGGTGACAGTTATGACACATGACTTTATCAGAATTTTATTGAGATAAATCAATAACAAATGGTGTAAGTGGTTTTATGTACATAAAATACGAGTGAGTGAAATTTTTGATTTTTCAGTTTCTTGATTTTTCAGTTTTTCAATTTTCATTTTTCCTTTCGGATTTTTATCTTTTTGTTTTTTCAATTTCAATTGTTTTCAATTTTTTGTTTTTTAATGTTTTGATTTTGTCATTTTACAATTTTTCATTTCTTTTTTTTTCTTCAATTCTACAACATGCAACTTTGCGAGTTTTTAAATTTTTCACAACTTTTCTGTTCGATCTGCAATTTTTCGTTTCGGTTTTCTATTTTTGTTTATTTGTTCAATTATTCGATTTTTCAATATTTCGATTTTACAATTTTTTTTCAGTTTTAATTCCACCAGTTTTTCGATTTGGGAATTTTAAATTTTTCAATTTTTAGATTTTGCTAATTTTCAATTTAAAATTTCTCCAGTTTTCGGTTTTTAATCCTTCAATTTTTCGATTTGCAATTTCACGAGTTTTCAGTGTTTAATTTTTTGATAAATAGAAAAAATGCCAACGAAAAATACAAATATTAAAAAACAAAAAAAATTAAAATAAAAAATTATTGAAAAATCTAACAAAATGGCTACAAGTTCAAAATTGAAAAGATGAAAAATTGAAAAATTTTAAACTGAAAACTCTTCGAATTTTTTAATTTTATTTTTCAATTTTTTGATTTAAAAAAAACGCTATTGTTAATGAACAGAAAACAAAGTAACACTGGGAAAATGAGAAATTGGAAAATTGAAAGATGAGGAAAATATTTTTTTTTATTTTTCAGTTTTTCGATTTTTTTTCAGTTTTTCAACGAAAAGATCAAATCTACTTAAAACTGAAATTTTGAAAAATCGCAAAGGCGGAAAATGAAAATCAAAATCGAAAAATCAAATTCTCCTACATAATAATAATTGATAAATACCTCCAAAATTTGAGACACTAAATGGTTAAAACTGAAGAAATCGAAAAATAAAAAAAATTTAAAATTAAATACAGATCAAAAATAAAAACAAATATACCTATCACGAATTCAAAAATCAAAAATTGAAAAATGGAAACATTGAGAAAACGAAAAAAAATACCTAGGCGTCAATAACCCAGAAAGTGAAAATCAAGATAGAGAAAGCGAAACATTAAAAATTGGAATATTGAAAGAACAAAAAATTATAACACTGAAACATGGAAAAATTAAAAACTAAATTATCGAGAAATTTAAAAATCAAAATCGAAATAGACAAAAAAATGGTTAGAAACTAAAATTTCAAAAAACTGAAGATATGAAAAATTCAAACAATGAATATGGAAAAATCGAAAAATATAGATCAAAAATAAAAATTCAGAAATTCAAAAATCAAAAATTGAAAAATCGAAAAGACGAAAAATACAAATATCTAGAAATTGACAAACCGAAAAATTACTAATCAAAAAACTAATAAAACGGAAAAATTAGAAATCTGAGAATTGAAAGAACAAAAAACTATAACACTGAAACATCGAAAAATGAAATGGTAATGGGGAAATTTAAAAATCGAACAATCACAAAATTGAAACATCGAAAAAAATGAAATTTCCAAAAATTTTTCAATTTTTATTTAGCAATTTTTCGATTTTTATATTTTCACGTTTTCGATTTTCAATTTGTCATTTTCTCCAATTTTATTTTTTCAGCTTTTCAACAAAACCAACAAATATTGAAAATTAAAATTTTGAAAAATAAAAATACCTAGATGTCACCAAAAGAAAAAGTGCAAATCAAAAATTTGAAGAAATGGAAAATAGAAAAATCTAAATATTAAAAATCAGAATATTGAAAGAAAAAATTGTAACGCTGAAACAACGAAAAATTAAAAAATCGAACAATCGCAAAATCGAAATCGAAAGAGAAAAAAATGGATAGAAAGTAAAATATCAAAATATTGAAGAAACGAAAAATTGAAACATTTAATAAAATGGAAAATTTTAATTTTTAGTAAGCAATTTTTCCATTGTTATTTTTTCACATTATGGAATTTTCATCTTTAATTTTTTCGAACTTTAAATTTTCAATTTTTCAGCAAAAAGAACAAATTTATTATTCAAAACTAAAAATTTGAAAAATCGGTATATTAAATAATGGAAAATGAAAAATCGTAAAATTGTAAAACTGGAAAATTAAAAAAATTAAAAATAAAACTAGCAATTACTAAACGAAAAATTGTAATACTGAAACACTGAAAAGTTAAAAACTAAGAGATTGAAAAATTGAAACATTTAAAATTTGAAAAATCGAAAAATAGAGTTCGAAAATAAAAGTGGGAATGTCAAAAATAAAAAATTGAATAAACGAAAAATACAAACTAAAAAACTAAAGAAATGGAAAATAGAAAAACTGAAAAATTAGAAATCGGAAAATTGAAAGAACAAAAAACTGTAACACTGAGACATCGAAAAATGAAAAAAGTAATAATCGAGAAACTTAAAAATCGAAGAATCATAAAATTGACACATCGAAAAAAAAACGTCTTGAAAATTAAATTTCCAAAAAATTTCAAAAAAGTTTTCAATTTTTATTTAGTAATTTTTCGATTTTTATTTCCACGTTTACGATTTTCAATTTTTTATTTCCTCGAATTTTACTTTTTTAGCGTTTCAACAAAAGGAATAAATATATTTATAATGAAATTTTGAAAAATCTAAAAGTCGAAAAACGAACATTCAAAATCAAAAAATAAAAAATTAACAGTCAAATTACTGAGAAAACAAAAAAATTACAAAATTTAAAAAATGAAATCTCGAAAAATAGAGATCAAAAATAAAAACTAAAAAATTCAAATATCAAAAATTGACAAATCAAAAATACTAAAAAAACAAAATATTAAAATACCTAAAAATTGCAAATAAAAAAAAGGAATGGAAAATAGAAAAATTAAAAAGTCAGAAATCGGAAATTTGAAAGAATGAAAAATTGAAATATTGGAATATCGAAGTATGTTTTCAAAAATTGAAGAATTGAATTTTTCAATCTTCATTTTGCAATTTTTCGATTTTTATATTTTCCCGTTTTCGATTTTCAATTTTTCGTTTTCTGGAATGTTAATTTTTCAAAATCTAAAAGTGGAAAAACAAAATAACAAAATCGAAAAAAAAATTACAATCAAATAACTGAGAAAACCAAAAATTACAAAATCTAAACATTGAAAAATCGAAAGATCAGTAGGGCGAAAAATCAAAACTTGAAAAATTGAATCATTGAAGAACAAAACACCCAAAATTAAACACATTTTAATTTGAAAAATTATCAAAAAAAAATGTCTAAAATTAAAATATCCGAAACTGAAAGGACGAAAAATTGAAAAATTTTAAACTGGAAAAAAAATTAAATGTTTATGTACTGAAAAAATAATAACATTGGGAAAATGAAAAATTAAACATCTAGAAACTGAAAATCGGAAAATTGAAAAATAAAACAATTGAGGAAACGGATAATAAAAATATTTAAATGTTAACAACCGAAAAAGTGCAAATAATAAAAATTGGGTAAATGGAAGATAGAAAAATCAATCGTTCGATTTTTATATTTTCACGTTTTCTATTTTCAATTTTTCATTTTCTCGAGTTTTAATTTTCTTAAGAAATGGAAAATAGAAAAACCGAAACTTTAATAATTGGAATATTCAAAGAACAAAAAATTGTAACGCTGAAACATCGAAAGATTAAAAAATAAATAATCGAGAAATTTAAAAAATCGAAGAATCACAAATACGAAATCGAAATAGAAAAAAATGGATCCAAAGTAAAATATCAAAATATTGAAGGAACGAAGAGTTGAAACATTTATAAATAGAAAATTTCAATATTTATTAACCAATTTTTCGATTTCTATTTTTTCGGGTTAACGGAATTTTCATCTTTCATTTTTGCGAATTTAAATTTTTCAATTTTTTAAGAAAAAGAACAAATTTATTCAAAACTGAAAATTCATTTTACAATTTTTCATTTCTTTTCTTTTCTTTAATTCTACAACATGCAACTTTGCGAGTTTTTAAATTTTTCACAACTTTTCTGTTCGATCTGCAATTTTTCGTTTCGGTTTTCTATTTTTGTTTATTTGTTCAATTATTCGATTTTTCAATATTTCGATTTTACAATTTTTTTTCGGTTTTAATTCCACCAGTTTATCGATTTGGGAATTTTAAATTTTTCAATTTTTTGCTTCAATTTTTAGATTTTGCAATTTTTCAATTTAAAATTTCTCCAGTTTTCGGTTTTTAATCCTTCAATTTTTCGATTTGCAATTTCACGAGTTTTCAGTGTTTAATTTTTTGATAAATAGAAAAAATGCCAACGAAAAATACAAATATTAAAAAACAAAAAAAATTAAAATAAAAAATTATTGACAAATCTAAAAAAATGGCTATAAGTTCAAAATTGAAAAGATGAAAAATTGAAAAATTTTAAACTGAAAACTGTTCGAATTTTTTAATTTTATTTTTCAATTTTTTTATTTAAAAAAAACGCTATTGTTAATGAACTGAAAACAAAGTAACATTGGGAAAATGAGAAATTGGAAAATTGAAAGATGAGGAAAATATTTTTTTTTATTTTTCAGTTTTTCGATTTTTTTTCAGTTTTTCAACGAAAAGATCAAATCTACTTAAAACTGAAATTTTGAAAAATCGCAAAGGCGGAAAATGAAAATCAAATCGAAAAATCAAATTCTCCTACATAATAATAATTGATAAATACCTCCAAAATTTGAGACACTAAATGGTTAAAAATGAAGAAATCGAAAAATAAAAAAAATTAAAAATTAAATACAGATCAAAAATAAAAACAAATATACCAATCACGAATTCAAAAATCAAAAATTGAAAAATGGAAACATTGAGAAAACGAAAAAAAAAATACCTAGGCGTCAATAACCCAGAAAGTGAAAATCAAAAAATTGAGGAAATGGAAGATAGAGAAAGCGAA